GAATCGAACTTTTTAACAGAAAAAACTGGACTTTTTCTTCTTAATCATTTACAAAAAATTTTTAAAAATTGTGGAAAAAGCAAAATTCACAACAAAAAAGATTCGGAATATTACTTAGCTACACTAGATGAAATTGTGAATGCAAAATGTCTACCTACAGGTAGAGTTGTAAGACTTAGCAATATAATTTTGAATAACATTAAGTTTTGATAAATTATATAGATTTCATGTAATCATAACTAGAGGTGCAAACATATTGTCATAATTAGTTATGATCTATTTTAAAACAAATTATTTTTATTGGGGTAATTAGGTTACAACCTAATTATGACAATGTGTCTGCACCTTTAATCATAATTTCATGATATATACGTAAGAATAACCATTACTTGCAAAATAGGTGATATCATTATTGGTTAATTGATTTAGAATAAGTGCCACCTATACTGCAAGAGATAATTTTACATAAATTAAATTTTCGTCATTAACTAAATTTTGATAACATCAGTGCTTCACATGTTGCATACCATACGTTACCAATTAGAAGCACCACCAAATAAAAAACAACCTTCCAAATTTTGGAACCAAAAATTTGACTAAGGTTGTTATATTCTACTAACTAATGAAATTGAAAGCAACCTCTTTACTTTGGCTTGAAAAAATCTTCATTTTTTTGGCAACAGTTTGGTTGCTTCTATTCGGTAACATATGGTACATGAAATCTAATTTACTAAGACTTAAAGTAAAATTTTATGAGAAAATTAACAAAATTTTGCATATAATATCACCAGGAAAGTAAAGCTCATTTTAATTGAATTCTAAAATTAAATTTTATTTTTATTAAAAAAAAATAAAAAATAATACATCTTAACTATATAAGTTTCGCTAATAAATCCTACTACAGGCTATAGTTCAAGCTTTCCCCAGATCCTAATTTGTGCGATCATTGTTATAAATTGTTAAATGATGGTGAAGTCTTAATTTGTGGGCACGGTTATCATCATAACTGTTATTCAACGATGGAGTATTGCTGCCGCCACTGTAAAGAATATTATAAAAAAAGCATTTATTATAATGTTGAAAGTTTCATAAAGCGATTGGAAAAGGGACCTAATACTCTTACCAAAGAAGAAAAACAAGAAAAAGCTACAGAGGAACCTGAGCAGGAGGACGATTCGGTGGAGGAAGTGAAAAAGGAGAAACCCGACGCCTTTTTACTAGCACTCAATGCTGTTAGTGAATGGTAAATGTAAAAAAAAAATCAAAAAGTTAATATTA